AGAGAGAGAGAGAGAGAGAGAGAGAGGGAGAGAGAGAGGGAGAGAGGGAGAGAGGGAGAGAGAGAGAGAGAGGGAGAGGGAGAGAGAGAGAGAGAGCGTGATTGCAAGAGCAGGCAGACCCACACACCTGCAAATACACCACAGGGTGAGCATCGGGATGGGGAGGGTCTGCAGGGATGCGGGGGAGGGACCCCCACCCTGTCCTCCCTGCCTTCCCCACCCAGGGGCCTGTTCACTCTCTCGTCTTGGTTTGGTTCATGGTGATGGCTTTTGTTTCTTTTTTTGGCTAAAAATAAAAAGAAGAAAGCAGAGAGGAGACCCCCCCATCCCACCTCCCCCTCACCACCCTGCATGGGTTGGCTCAGGGGACACAGCAGTGCCCCACCCAGGCCTCCCCCGCCCAGGCCTGTCCTATACCGCAAGAAAGGGGAGGGAGCAGGTTTAAAAATCCCCAAAACAGCAAAAAACATGAAAGAGGGGTGTGGGCATCCCCATCCCTCGCCCCAGTCCCCTGGGCAGAAAACAGGGAGCAGGGTTGGGGCAGGGCAGGAAGCAGAAACAAAATGAAAAAAAAAAGGGGGTGGGGTGGGGTGGGAGGGGAAGAAAATCTCTATTTTTGTAAAAAGGGAAAAAGACCTCGTGGAGAATTTTTACTGGGGATTCTTGAACTTGAAAAAAAAAATCACAAAAAAAAAGACAAAAAAAAAAAAAGAAACTATTTTGGCAAGTTATGTTTACCAACTAACTGGGGCAGAGGGCACAGGGAGCAGGGCTGAGGGGTTGGAAGTCCACAGGGCCGCCAGTACACACACACACACACACACACACACACACACACACACACACACACACACAGCCACAAGAAGCCAGGAGGGACATACACTTGGACCTTGGAAACACAGATACACAACACATACAGAAACATTCCAGGATACATTGAGGAAGGTTGACAAACCCACACCAGAGGACGGAGACACACGGACCTTGGGGCTGCATCGACACAGCGTTGGCTGCTTGTCCACAAAACCACGTGATGCGTGCAAGCCACCGTGACAGATCCATTGGGATGTAGGAATCGGACACAAGTTTCCAAAGAGCGCCTGGGATGTCACTGGGTTGGCGAGTGCTTGTACAGTGTCCACGAAGCCTGGGTTCATCCCCAGCACTGCATAAACCTGGTGTGGGGTGTACAGTCCTCACTCATCCTAGTACTTGAGAGGCAGAGGCAGAAAATCAGGTCAAGACTAGCCTTGGCTACATAGTGAGTATGATGTCAGCCTGGGCTACATAAGACCCTGTCTCAAAACACAAAAACAAAAACCAATAGGTCACCTAGAAACATACAACACCTAGGGACATACACCCATGTTCACAGCATCCTACAGGCCCAGACAAGACGTTCCCACTGGAGACCCTGATCCAGGTACTTCCTCCAGCCAGGCTGTCCAGCCACTTCTCCCTGGGCCCCAGTAAGCCCCAGCCCCAGGTTCTCTGCACAGACTCCTTAGCCCACCAGGGGCCTCCCTGCTGCCCACCACACAGGCGTACACACATGGCGTCCATGCATCCAAACACACAATACCTCGTTCCACTTTGGCATCACCGTGGGCTGGAGGGGGCTTCCCACAACACTGAGGCCAAAGGACCCCGTGTCCCTGGGGCTCAGCCTCCCTGGGTCCAGGGGGAGGTCTGCAGTCTCCTCCCTCATCTAGGGCCAGCGTGCTCCCCTCCGCAGCAAGCACCCAGCACCCCCCCCCCAGATGCAGGGGTGGATGGGCCCAAGGTGTCCCCCACATGCCTTCCCACCCACGTGTCGCCCTCTTTTGATTGTTGGGTTTTTCGTCTTTCCGGACTGTGGGGAACCATGGATGTAGCCTTCATGAGCCCCAGCCCTGGCTTCTGACTGGATTTTGCATCCATAACTCCACACTTTGACTTTTTATTCTTTTATGCAAGTTCCAACAGAAGCCACAGGCTGGAGCCCCTGGGAGCCCCAAACCTTCAACCCACCCCTCAGTGGGCCCAGTCACACCCGAGAGTCGTGAAGCCCCGCCCGCCCGCCCACTGGTTCTGGTTGCTTTCTTCCGGTGTCCTCTGCGTTTGGTGTCTGGCCACGGTCCCATTTGAGCGTCCAACTCTCTCTCCCCACCCCTCCTGGTGTTGTTCTTAACCGTCTGTGGAGTTTCTGCTGCAAGGAACAAAAAGAAAAAAAAAATTAAAAAAAGACCAAAAAATAAAAAACGGAAAAAAAAAAAAAGAAAAGAAAGAAAACTCAGAAGATGAAATATAGCAACAGGAAAGAAAGAAAAAAAGACAAAAACACACACAAAGACGATTTAAAAACAAAAAAAAAGGAAAAAAAAAGATAAACTGTCACCAGTTAACTTTCTTGTACTTTTTTGCTGAATTTAGCTTCATGTAGTTTTAACTTATTGCTATGTTAACTATTTATTATCCTTGTTGGCCTGTTAAGGACCTTTGTGTATATTTCTGTTCTCATTGCTTTGCAAGTTGAAGGAAGGGGTCCCTTTTCTTTCAGTTTTGCTGAGATGTGGTTATGCCTAATTTATTTATAAAAAGGGGAAGTGGAGTCATTAAAGTAATAATTATTAATAACAGTAATGGTAGCGGAGTGCCCCCCGGGGGTGCCGTGGGCTCCGAGGGCTGGGGTCCCCACAGCTGTCGGTGCCCAGGGTCTCTCAACGGGATTGTTTTGCTATTGTCTTGAGAAGTTTTTTGTCTATTTAGCTGGTGAACTCTAGCTTGCTCACGATACACCAAACCTATTTATTCTGGTGGTTTCTAAGTCTGCCCTAATCCCCCCTCCCAGCAGGACGGACTCCCCGCCTTCAGGAGGGTCCGACCCCTTCTTTCCCTGCTGTTTCTGGGGTCTCCCCCTGCCCTCCGCACATGCTGGAGGCATCCGAGCAATAAGGGCTGGGTTTGTCCCCCACCCTGGGGGGAGGGCGGGCTCTGAAGAGGGGGCTCCTCCCCCCACCCCCTCCCACCGAGGCCTAGGTCCCTGCTGCCCCCAAGACTGGGAGGAGGGGACTTTTTTCTAAGACACAAGCTTAGCCCAGCCAGGCCCCCTCCCTGGAGGCCAGTCCCCCAAGAGGGCCAGGCCAAGGGCTCCCAGGGAGAGGGGCCCTTGGGTCTTCCAAAGTCCCTGGGGGCCAGGGGCAGGGCCAGTAGGGAGGGGGCTCAGCCCCTCCAACCCTCCCTTCATCCTGTTTATTGGGAAAGTTTCAAACCAGGACAGAGTCCATGTTGGAGGTGATAAAAAGAACTGTAGAAAAAAAACAAAAAAACCAAACCTCAACCCAAACCCACGAACACTTCAAGTTGCGTTTAGACTATTTATTACTGAGATTCCAGGCCTGGCCGCGGTAACTGACTTTTACATGGAATTGTTTAATTATTTGTACTTTTCATGCCAGAAAATAAAAAGTTCAGAATCTTAAGTCTCAGGTGATTTGTGCACCGCTCTGGGCAGGGGTGGTGGGAGGGAAGCCCAGGAAGGACACCACCCCCCTGGGCTGGGGTCTCTAAAGATGGCAGATGCATCTCAATAGCCTACAGTCTACCCATCACCAGGCGCTGGCTGTCTCCCGTCGGTCGTCAGTCGGCCTGCGACCTGCAGGGCCGCAAGTCTCTGCACACAGCTGCTCCCCGAGTGCCAGGTCTGTAGCTGGGACAGTCCAGTCCCCATGGCAGGAGGCCTGCAGCAGGAGCGTGGGGCTGTGGGCACTGCCGTCGGGAAGCAGATGGTTAGGGCACAGGCCACCAGGCCTGACCTCAGCTCCCTCCCTGGCACTGTAGCCAGAGGCCTGTCTCCTAGGCAGCTCTAGATCCTGTCACGTTGGACAGCGGTAACCAGCACACTCCACATTTGCTGTCTGCTCACACTTGCCCTGTTCTACACCCCGAAATGAAGGCAGACCTAGCCAGGCCTACTGGCCCATGCTTTGGGAGCCCGAGGCAGGAGATACTCTGAGGCTAGCCTGAGCTACATAGACCAACAGGGAAGAAACAGCACACACACAGCCGATGTGGGTGAGTCACATTTATTGTTCTGAGGTCACATGTCAAGTCATCCACTCATCTCCCACCAGCTGGGGAGGCAGGGGTGAGGTGGGCGGGGAATAACTCCCACCCAGAAATCCAAGGAGAGTGAGCTCCTCTATCCATCTCTGGAGGCCGCTGGGGCCTCGGGAATGCAGATGGCTTGGCTAGCCTGGGCCAGAAGTAGGGCTTCGAGCCGCATGGGGTTCCTGCTACCAGGAGGATGGCCAGGAACCCCGGGGTGGGCAGGCCTTGGTCCACAGACTGCAGGATCAGTAGACTGGTTTCAGGCCTTGAGGTCCTAGGATGGAAGACAGAATTAGAAAAGACGGAGGGCTGGGACATGGGTTAGTGCAGAAGCAGTATGGAGGAAGCCTGGATCCCAGCCAGCACTGGAGAGCTACGAACTAGTGTGAAAGACGTGGCTGGGCTGGCAGACTGTTTGCCTAGCACAGGAAGCCCTGGGTTCAGCCATCAGTACCTCGTACAGGGGGCGTGGCGGGTGGCCCAGTGGAGGCAGGACTGACAAACTTTCAAGGCCAGTCTGGACTATCTGACAAAACTGTCTTTGTTTTTGATACAGGGTTTCTCTGTGCAGCCCAGGCAGGCCTCAAACTCAGAGATCCTCCTGCCTCTGCCTCTTGAGTGTTGGGATTAAAAGCGTGCGCCACCACCGCCTGGCAATAAAACTGTCTTGAAACACTTGGAAGGTAGGGTTAGGCAGATAGATCTCTGTGAGTTTGAGGCCAGCCTGGTCTTGGGCTATGTAGAGATCCTGTGTCAAAACCCCCCAAAAAACCTGTCTAAGAAAACATGGGCCTGCCAAGGTAAGGGTAAGGTGCTGGCCTAAGTTCTGGGCCTGGGGCCCACGTGGTACAGAAGAGAACCAACCTCCAAGCTGACCTCTGACTGCGCACGCGCGCACGCGCACACGCACACGCGCACGCACACACACACACACACACACACACACACACACACACACACACACACACACACACAGGCACAAGGTTTACGCCTTTCATCCCAGCACTTGGAAGGCAGAGGCAGGTGGATCACCAAGTTCAAGGCCAGTCTGGTCTACCTAATAAGTTCCAGGACAGCCAAGACTACACAGTGAGGCCCTGTCTCACAGACAATAAATAAATAGTAAGATATAAAGTCAGGGCACAGGTTAGGAGAGTACCCCAGTCCGCACACTGTAACGGAGACCTGCCTCCTTACCAGGCTACAGCTCATCATGGTCCCCGTCAGCGGGCGGCTCTGGTGGCGGTTCTGGGCAGGCCGCGGGTGTCGTCAGCTCCATGAGGTACTCACAGCGACTAGGCTCCGTGGTACTGGTCACCACAGTCTCTTTGCCACACAGCAGGCGCACCTGGGGATGGGAACAGAGCAGGAGCGGGGCTGGGCGGGGCTGGCGCAGGCCTGGGTCCCCACAGCCCCGGGCCTGGGTCCCCACAGCCCCCGGCCTGGGTCCCCACAGCCCCCCGCCGGGCACTCACTGTGGTGGAACGGTTGGGGCCCTGCCAGCAGCCGGTACCCTGCTCGTACTTCATGGCGCTGAACTTGTCGTGATCGGGGCCAGCCCACGAGCCCCACGTGCTATGGGAGAGAGCGGGGGTGCTGAGCACTGGGCCAGTGGGTGGCTGGGGCAGGGTCAAGCCAACAAACCTCAGCCCACTCACCCAAGGTTGGTCGGGGAGCCCCCATGTTTGGGTTTCTGGGAGACCAGTTTGAAGGGGCAAAGCCGGTAGATGTACCTAAGGGCCGGGAGAAGAGCCGAGTGAGAAGACGGGGACCCTAGGCTGACCTCAATCACGCTGAAGTAACTGAGGTTGGCCCTGAACTTAGGACCCTCCTCGCACCCCTCAATTATGTACCACTATGCTCAGTTTCATGAGGTGACAGAACCCAGACTCAACTTGAGGTCCTCCTGCCCCAGCCCCCCGAGTGATGAGATCAGAGATACGAACCCTAACTTCTTGTTTGCCCAGTACCCTCCCTTGCACCCCCCCCCCCGGATGTACTCGTTGGTGGTGAGCTCGTAGCACTGGCTGTAGAGGTACGCGAACTCCCCGTGGGGACCGAAATCAAAGGAGATCTCTTGTTCCAGACTCCTGGAAAAGCAGGTCCAGTGGTGAAGGGCGCGAGAGCCCCACACAGCAGGGCCCAGGGACAGGAGTGAGGACCTGAGAGCTCCACACAGCAGGGCCCAGGGACAGGAGTGAGGACCTGAGAGCCCACACAGCAGGGCCCAGGGGAAGGAGTGGACCCGAGAGCCCACACAGCAGGGCCCAGGGGAAGGAGTGAGGACCTGAGAGCCCACACAGCAGGGCCCAGGGGAAGGAGTGTGGACATGAGAGCCCCACACAGCAGGGCCCAGGGGACAGGAGTGAGGACCTGAGAGCCCCACACTGAAGGGCCCAGGGGAAAGGAGTGAGGACCTGAGAGCCCCACACTGAAGGGCCCAGGGGAAGGGGAGCATGGACCCGAGAGCCCCACACTGAAGGGCCCAGCTGCACGGTGGGCAGACACAGGCTGTGCCTGGGGCCTTGCAAGAGCCAGGCTGGCACCCCCTCCGAGGGGAGCTGGGGGTACACTGTAACTGGGCAGGAGGCAGCCTCGGTCCCCATACCTGATAGACTCCTCCATCTCTTTCAAGGACCGCTCTGCTTCCTCAAACTTATTCCGGGCCTCCTGTGCAGCTGAGGGACGGGAGATCAGAGGGGGCCCCAGTTCCACGAGAGAAGACACAGAACGGGGCCCCACGGAGGATGTGACAGCTGCCGCTTATGCTCTGGGGTTTGTCCCCGACAACGATGGCCCTCTAGGCCTGACCAGCTGCAGAGTGAGTCTCCTCTGCCGCGTCTCTCTAGAGTGCAGGGCCAGGGCTCCTGGGGCCCGCCCGGCTGGTTCCTGGCCTGTTATGCGTGTTACAAACAAGTACAGCCCATGAGGAGGGAAGACTCCTGGGGATAGGTACAGCAATTCCCAAGCAACCTGGGCACTGCAGGGCCCGGGAGCACCTCCATGTAAGGGCAGACCTGCTCGTGGTAGGTGGAGCCTGGCTGCTGGAGAGGGAAGCTGGACCCTTCCCAGCAGGTCCCCACTCACCATCGATGACAGCCTGCGTCTCCTCATCGTAGGGTGGCATCTTTTCATCCTCAGTGGGGCTGGCAGGCTGTGGCGGCTGGAGAGGGGCTGGCGCCTCCTGGGGAGAGGGCAGGCCCAGTCAGCAGGCAGTCCCTCCCACCCATCTGCCCACCATTCTCCCAACACACACCTTGGGTTTCTCCCCCTGCACCTCCTCTTCTTCCTCTTCCTCCTCCTCCTCCTCTTCCTCCTCCTCTTCCTCCTCCTCTGTGGGTGGCAACACTGGTGGCTGCTCCTCTTTGGGCTCAGTTACATCCGGAGCAGAAGGGGCAGGCATCTCAGTGGGCAGCACCTGGCAGACCCGGGATTGTGGAGGCCAATGCTGAGGACTTGGGGAGCGACCTCATCTCAAGGCTGGGGAACACTGGTTCACGCATCTTGGCCTCCATGGCGAACCAGGTGCCAGCCCAGGAGGTATTTCTGTGAGGGGCTGGGGGGCAGGGACCACTTCCCCACCTTTCCCCACAGACCTCAGAGCGGTACTTGTCCCTGATGCCGGCCCAGACGCGGTCATAGAAGGAGGCAGTGTCAGTCTGTGTGTCCCCACTGAGAAGGGCCTGTGTGCGTTGGGGTGGGGTCAGGGTTAGGCCTTCAGAAGCTCACCCACCCTGCCCCAGGCACTCACAACTAGGGACCAGGCCATAGCAGATGGGCCAGGCACTATGACCAGGAGGGACAGCAGAGGCCTGAAGGAGGCCCGGGGGCTGGGAAGTAAGGGGACATCAGGACCAGGCACAGATGCAATGTTTCCAGAGGCCGCCATGCCCTAAGCAATGGTCCAGAAGGGGCAGGGAAGGACCCAGTTTGCAGGAGAGAGGGTAGAGGGGCAGAGCCAGGGTGGCAGGTAGGAAGAGAGCTGCGGCCTAGGGACAGCAGGGACGGGACTCCTTCCGAGGCAGCGAGCAGAGGTGAGGGGCGGACAAGCACGGGGAACAGGCTCCATGCGCCCTGGTACTCGTCCAGGGTCCTACCAGGCGGCCAGCAACTTACGGTCTCACGCGGACAGGGAACGGCCTCACCTCAGGCCGGCGGGGACCCCTCTCACCCTGAACTCACTCTAGGCCAAGGCTAGGCTGGGGTGGGTACCTGGGCCTCCTCCTCGGAGAGCACTGCATCTCCATCTGTGTCTAGCTCTGGGTGAGTCTGTAGCTCAGCCACCGAAACCCTGAGGGGATAGAGACAAGGAAGAGTGAGGCCTTGGGACCGCGACACGTGAGTGTGGGGGCTGGGATGAGACGGGCAGGCCCCCTCACTTCCCACTCGACTCAAGGCAGACCTGGGGAGTCACACCCGTACCCTACCTCCCCAAACCCTCTTCCTGACCCACCAGCCTCCACCCGCTTCTGCCCCACACGCCAGCACCTCAAAACCACCCAATGCCCAGTGGCAGTGAGGCTCTCACCTGCCCCACCCCCCACGGCTCAAGGCTCACACAGGACGACTGTATGTCTGAGACCAGCCTGGCTCCTTGACGAGTTCAAGGCCAGGTTAGCTAGACGGGGACGAGGGGCTCAGTGGGCAGAGCAGTCACACTTACATCCCATCCTTGTCGTCATCGAGTTCCTGGAAGGCACTGGCCGCCAGCTCCTGTTCCCGCCGGGCCTTGGCAGCAGCTTGCTGCTCTGCGGAGGAGAGGGGGGCATCCTGTCATGCTGTGCCACAAGTGGTCAGATCCAAACACCCCCAAACCTGCCCTCACCGCACATGGCGTCCCACCGTGAGAGCAGTCTCACACTGAGCGCCGGATTTAACGAAGGTCCATGTCCTCTGGGAGGGAGGACGGATTCGGGAACAAGATAAGTAAGTGCAGGGACCACCGAGATGGTTCAGCAGGCTTGCCGCCAAGCCTGACAAGCCGAGTTCGGTCCCTGAGCCCCACATGACGGAAGAGGAGGACCCTGAAGGCACACACGTTCCCATCCCTGAGGAACAGGTGAAGCCTCAGAGTCGGGGAGTTGGGAAAAAGGTGAGTGGGGGGCCTGGGCTGTGAAAGATGGGACAACAGAACCTGCAGGTGTGACCAGAGCCCCTGCGGGGACAGACGCCATGCAGGTGTGACCAGAGCCCTGCGGGGACAGACGCCGCCAAGAGCTCTATGCAGGTGTGACCAGAGCCCTGCGGGAACAGACGCCGCCAAGAGCTCTATGCAGCCGGCAGACCAGCAGTGTCTCCCCTCAGTGACCAGCACCACTGCTCTCTGCTCAGAGCCGTCCAGGCCCTGCAAGGCCCCAGCGAGCTGTGGCAGCAGGACCCTGCCCCCACCCTCCCTTCCCATCACTCTTCACCAGTTTCTGGCCCTTTCTTTCCTGACTAGGAGTCTACTGTACCCCAGGCTGCCAACTCACTATGAAACCAAGGCTGGCCTTGTTTTTGTTTATTTATTTTTTGGTTTTTTTGAGACAGGGTCTCACTAGGTAGCTCTGGCTGTAGACCAGGTTGGCCTCGAACTCAGAGATCCAGCTGCCTCTGAGCTGGGATTAATCTCACCAGAGTGCTGGGATTAAAGGCATATACCACTTGGCTGGCCTTGAATTCTTGATCCATCTCCTAAGGTCTGGAACAATAGTCCCCCAAGGCCTGGCTCCTTCTTCTTTTTTTTTTTTTTTAATTTATTCATGTACTTGATGTAATTTGCATGTATTCCTGCATGACCGAAGAGAGCATCAGAGAGAAGAGGGCGCCAGATCTCATTACAGATGGCTGTGAGCCACCATGTGGTGCTGGGAGTTGAACTCAGGACCTCTGGAAGAGTGGTCAGTGCTCTTAACCTCTGAGCCATCTCTCCAGCCCCCTTCTTTATGTTTTATTTCATTTATTAGAGACAGGGTCTCACTCTGTAGGCCAAGTTTGTCTGGTATTTGTAATCCTCCTGCCTTAACCTCCCAAGAGCTGGGATGACAGGCGTTGTGACCAATGGGACAAGCAGAACCGGTCAAAGGTCAAGGTGGGGGCGGCTGACCGACAGGATGGCGTCTCCTCAGAGACAGGTGAGGTCAGGAGACGCACGTATCTAAACTCACACCCTGTGTAGGCTGAAGGCTCAGCACAGGGGCAGAGCCTGGCCTAGAACCCCCGGCGAGGGGCTGGAGTGACACCGGAGAGCAAGGGCTGGCCAAGCATGTGGAAGGCCCGGGGAAGTGAGCTGCACATGCTGAGAGGTCAAAGGTCTTTGACTTGGGCTTGAGATTCCTGGAGGGACGGTTCTAGGCACCAGACAAAATGAAAACACACGTCTGTAGAAAAGGATCGTGCATCCAAGGCTACAAATCATTCCTATAGTTTCCACACTTGATGGCCAAGGCAAAGTTAACTAGGCACACAAAGAAATGAGCAATCGTGATTAATTAAAAAAAAAGAGTCCAGAACATGGTGGGGCACACATCTAAATAAAATTCTAGCACTTGAGGGGCAGAGGCAGGTAGACCTCTGAGTTCCAGACCACGTCTCAAAACATACCAACAAACAAAAACAAAACATAAATAACCCAGGCATAGTAGTACATGCCTGTTATCCGAGCATCCAGCATACAGAGACAGGAGAATTAGGAGTTCTAGGTCTTCCTCGTCTACACAGGAAATTAAGGCAGCCTGGGCCACATGAGACCCTGCCTCAAAAACAAAGATGGGATGGGGTGTAGCTGAGCGGTAGAGCACTTGGCCAGCATGTGTAAGGCCCTGCACCAGGGGCAGAGAACCCACAACAGAACTCCTCAGGAATTGGAGCTCCCGGCCTGGGTTCCTCCCTGGTCAGAGCTGAAGCGCCACCCACAGCATACCTTCCCACAGCTTCCGGTGCTGGTCTTTGGCCTCCTTCTCCGGCTTCTCTGCTTCTTCCTTCACTGTCCGCAGCATCTCTACCTGGTCTTCCAGAGACTTCTTTCCAGCCTGAAGCTCAAGCAGCTTACTCTGGAGGGAGAGACACCAGCTCTGTTTCAGCCTGGTCCTCTCTTTGTCGTGTGCCTCTGTTCCCCAAGACCTCTCCAAAACACCCGCAACACAGGACACACCCCCGCACCCCAGGGCACACCCCCGCAACACAGGACACACCCCCGCACCCCAGGGTACCCCCACTTTATTCTGGTTCCCTGAGGCTCTTTGGAGCCCAGAAGCTTCATACAGCCCATGACACTGTGTGTGACGTCAGGCCCTTCCCCAGTCCCACCTGTCACATGTCCATCATTTAAACGGAGGAGGGATACATGTGGCAGGGAGATGACATCTCAGGACTCAGTTCTCCCCTGGGGCTCAAACTCCGCTCACGAGGCTTGGTGTCCAGTATTTTCCCCACTGAGCACCTCACCGTCACCCACTGCCACCCTATCCTGAAACTCAAGGGTAACATTCAGACCTCCCCCGGCTCTCTGCTTCCAGTTCTTCCCGCGGCTTTCACGTTCCATGGCTGACTTGAATTACCCTACAGATTTCCATTAAGATAGCCCCTCCTCCAGGAAATCATCTTCATTTCCTGTCCCCAGGATGGGTGAGGGTAACCATGCAAGAAAGCTCTTGATGTCCTGAGGTCCTTGAACGTCTCTACCAACAGCAAGGATATAACTTTCTAACTATCTAGCATTCCCGAGGCAGGGGCCTGCACAGCACCAGGTATACCCTGGGCATCCATACATGTTCTGAGAAGCAACAGGGAGTACAGATGGGGTGAACCCCTGCCTAGAACCCCCCAGTGAGGGGCTGGGCGTGGCTCAGCAGGGGTGGAGCCCCTGCCTAGAACCCCCAGTGAGGGGCTGGGGTGTGGCTAAGCAGGGGTGGAGCCCCTGCCTAGAATCCCCCAGTGAGGGGCTGAGGTGTGGCTCAGTGGTTAGAGCCCCTGCCTAGAACCCCTCAGTGAGGGGCTGGGCGTGGCTCAGTGGTAGAGCCCCTGCCTAGAACCCCCAGTGAGGGCTGGGCGTGGCTCAGCAGGGGTGGTCTGACAGCCTTGGCAGTGTGGCTCAGTACAGGGTGCCTGCCTGGCTCACACAAAGCCTTGGGTTCCAGCTTCAGCACAGTAGTAAAAATAAGGAAGGTGTGGGCATGGTGGGGCACGCTTTTAATCCCAGAACTCAGTCGGCAGAGACAGGTGGAGCTCTGTGAGTCTGAGGTCAGCCTGGGCTACATAGGAAACTCCAGGCAGGCCAGGGCTACACAGACCCTGTCTCAAAAGAAATAAATAAATGAATCAATCAATCAATCAATCAATTTAGAAGGGGTGGGGGTGGGGCAGCGACAACAAAAAGCACCCCAGGCAAGCTCTGGTCTGGAGGCAGACAGGGCTCCCATGAAGTGTAAGGTAGGACGCCTCTCTGCCAGCCTCAGGCCCCTCACCAGGACCTTCTCACCTCCCCTGGAAGGCAGAGGTTACACGAACTGACCTCACCACTTGGCTTCCCCAGATCCCCTGAATTTGAAAGGGCAATCACTGCCCACGGAATGAAGCAGGGCCTTCCAGCTCCTCAATTTGGAGAGATTCTCCAGCCTCGGGGGTGGGAGAGAGGAACCTGGACTCCTCCGGGGTGGGAGAAGGAACCTGGACTCCTCCGGGGTGGGAGAGAGGGGCCTGGACTCTCCCTTGGACAGCCCCACCTCAGTGCCCTGGGGAGGACCTCCCACGCAGTGCTGCTGCTGAAGCATGGATGAGCCAAGGGTAGGCAAGGGAGGGAGACACATAGCCTGGGACTCCTCAGGCACCCACCGCACTCAGTCAGTGTAGTGGTTTCCACTGCCGTTAAGCTCAGAGATTTCCACAGAACTCCAGCGTCACCAACCACCAGCCTCGGTTACAGACAGTGGGGTGGGGGTACCGAGAGATGTTCTTCCTGTCTGAAGGAGTTAACACCCTGCCTTGGAAGCTGACAGCCTCTTACTTGGGAAGTGCTTGGTCAACCACTCATAAAGACAGACACAGGTGCCGGGCGGTGGTGGCGCACGCCTTTAATCCCAGCACTGGGGAAGCAGAGCCAGGCGGATCTCTGTGAGTTCAAAGCCAGCCTGGGCTACAGTGCGAGATCCAGGACACGCACCAAAACTACACAGAGAAACCCGGGGAGGGGGGGACGGGACGGGGACAGACACAGGCTCATCACAGCCCAGAGTCAAGTGCACACCACCCCACACGTGTTTACCCAACCATCACTCAAGGACCCCAGGCCCAGGTCCTACAGTGCATCTCTCTGGGTCCCTCACCTGCTTCTCTTCCCGGGCTGTCTTCCACTCCTCAATGAGCATCTTCTTGAGGCGGAAGCCCTCCCGGGTGACCTCAGCCAGCTGCTGCAGGGACTCTTTTTCCTTACGACCCTTCTCTCTGGAGTAGACACACACAAGTACCACTAAAGACACTCAGGACCCAGCAGGTTTGGCTGTTCCAGAAAGGTCTGAGTTACCTGCAAGCTCCAGCCACACCCCCCACGAACAATGCTGAGAAAGGCAAGACCCAGAACCCTCTTCGAACTGCCCCTCCAGGTTCTTCTGACCAGAGGCCTCCGTTCTGTCCTTGAGAAGACGGACAGTGTGCACAGCCTGCCTCTCCTTGGGATTACAGAACAGACTAGGAAGTGTGAGGAATGGGGTTGGAAGCAAGCCCCCAAACTGACAGAGGAGGAAGAGTAAGAACCCAGGCTCAGGCCAGTCGTGGTGACACACACCTTGAATCCCAGCACTCTGGGAAGCTGAGGCAGCCTGGTCTATAGTGAGCACCAACCCAGCCAAGGCCCCACGATAAGACCCTGGCTCCTCACAAAACACCAAAACCCAAACCAAGAGCTGTGGGTTTGTCAGGTGTGGTGACGACACCCAAAACTCAGCACCAGGCTGTACAGGCAGGAGGCACAGCAGCTCAAGGTCATGACTGCCCAGCTAGCCAAGCCTGAGGCTAGCCTGGACTACGGAGTCTCAAAAACTAAAACAAACCCCAATGTGGCAGACACAGTTGTAATCCCAACAACTAGAAGACAGAGGGAGAAGAATTATCTCCCAAAGTCCAGGTCACCCAAGATAAGCTTAAGACCCTGTCTCAAAAAGTTAAACAGGGGCTTGGGAGATGGCTCAGGTGTGAGTGAGTGCGTGCGTGCGTGCGTGCGTGCATGCATGCATGCATGCATGCATGCATGCATGCGAGTGTTATGTAAGCACGAGGGCCTGAGTTCAAGTCCCTAGCACCTACCAAAAAAGCTAATTGTGGCCACGCACACCTGGGTGGAGACAGGGGGATTGCCAGGACTTGCTGGCCACCAGTGAGAGACACTGTCTCAAAGGCTTACAACAGTGTGAAAGAGCAAGAAGCCCACGTGTCCTCTTAGCTTCCTCATGCACATATCTGCACACACGTGTTCTCATACCTTACGCACATACCACACAAACACACAAAAACAGATCAAAAAGCCAGGCATGATGGCGCACGCCTTTAATCCCAGAGCTTGGGGTTCGGAGGCAGGTAGATCTCTGTGACTTTGAAGACAGCCTGGTCTACAGAATGAGTTCTAAGACAGCCAGAGCTACACAGAGAAACTCTGCTTCAAAAGAGAGATTAAAAAAAAAAAAAAGAAAAGAAAAGAAAACAAGCATGTGGGGGGGGGGTGGAAAAAAATAAAACCAAGTATCGCGAGCGTTAACCCAGTTAGAGCTCAAGTTCAATTGTGTCAGGCCACCAAGCACAAGCCAAGTCATTTCTCTCCTGCTCTGAGTTTCTCCAGTTTTTTGTTTTTGAAACAGGGTCTCTGGCAGCCCATGCTTCAGACTCAGTGGAGCCAAAGACGATCTAGAACCTCCTACCGCCACCTCCCAAGTGCTGTGACTCCAGGCCTGTCCCACCCGCTCCTGTGTTTTTTTGAACAGGTAAACAGTCTCAACTGCTACATGGCTGGAGGGCATGCTGGTAATGTGGAGTTCCCAAGGGGCACGGCCAGTGGATTCACGAAAGGACAAAAGGCGCCACAGCGGTGTAGACTTGTAATCCTAGCACTCAGGAGGTTAAAGGCTGCCTGGGCACACCGAGGGAGAGCCTAGCTCTAAAAAAGAAGAGGGGCTGGAGAGACTTGACTTGCTGCTCTTCTGGAGGACCTGAATTCAACCTGTAACTCCAACTCCAGGGGACCAGACACTCTCTTCTTCTCTTCTGGCCTGGGCAGTAGACATGCATGTGGGTGGCATATTCTCTCTCTCTCTCTCTCTCTCTCTCTCTCTCTCTCTCTCTCTCACACACACACACACACACACACACACACACTCA